TTTGGAACAGAGGCGTTGGAAGGTGTGTTCTTCTTGGTGCAGCGAGAAGGGGTTGTCGACGCCTACTTCCCAGCGGACAGCGGGTGGTACCTACACGTCCTTCGTGTTAGTGTGATATGATCTCGTCGCTGTGAGTGATTTCAATCTTACCTGAACGGCGATGTGTTTCACATGCTTGACCAGCTCAGTATTCGCTGGTATGATGGAGAACCTCTCTAGGTGACTGGCTGTCCCCGGCAGCACTTGAGGCAATGCCATATCTCTGAACAAGTACTCAGTAACCCATTCTCGCAAGCACGAATGCGCTGAATTCTCATTCTTCAGATCATCTTTGCAGCCTGGTCGTAGATTGTCGGGATCAGGAGCGAGAGAGGAGACGATTACTCTGCGAATCTCAGAGGGTAGAGTAGGAAGAGTAGGGAGAGGTTTAGCACCTGGCGGGTTGGATAGGGCCATGGTTAGGCAAGACTGGTCGAGGAGCGAGGGGATTAGGAAATGTCTGGGAGTATCATATGAGAGAAAAGATACGTTATTAAGTACAAGCAAGGCTAGATCAGGCAGCAAAATTCGAGGTGTGGGATAGGGGATGAGGTTGAAGGCTTGGCATGAGATGGCGCGTTGAGTGATCAGAATTAGCTGTTATTGTGCGGCTTGAGCATCACTTTCACCCTGAGTTGACAATGGTTGAGTACATATCTGCGCGTGGTACTTGCTGGGCACATGAAGTGAAGCTGAATTGGTGTACTCTAATAGGTTAGCGCTATAGATGAGCGCCTCGGCTAATGGCGGTTCATCGAGCTGCCATGGATGTACCGATTCCACTAGGTGGTACGTACCAAATGGAAGACGGTCAAGATCCCGTACCTCCAGCTCACAGTTCGAGAAGTCCAATTCGCCCATACTCGGTCGTGACCATCGCTGGTTATTTCAATTGATTGCAGCTCCTAGAAATCAGTATCCGAACACTTGCTACGGATTACACCATGCCTCTACTACGACCCAGCCCACGGCTACTCTTTCGTCCCGTTCAACGATGCGCATATGCAACCGCACAAGCGCCAGCCGTAAACGTCACAAATGTACCGGCACCACATTGTGGTAGTATACGTATACTATCACTGAACCGACCTTCGGCACGCAACGCCATCTCAAGGCAATTGCTCGCGGAGCTGAACCACCAAGTCAACAGCATACATGACGAAGGGGAAACTGGTTCAACAAGAGCCCTGATTCTAGCTAGCGATGTCGATTCAAGCTTCTGCGCAGGCGCAGACTTGAAGGAGCGAGCTACTTTCGCGCAAGAAGAGTAAGTCTTCTAGTAATCATTCTCCAGAAACTACTAACACCACACTCTTCAGTACGGCAAACTTCCTAGCTTCCCTACGAGGTACCCTCAGATCCATTTCCCAACTCCCTATACCCACGATATCGGCACTCGCTGCACCCGCTTTTGGTGGAGGTCTCGAGCTCGCGCTCACGACTCACATGCGCATCTTCGCGTCGAACACAATCGTCGCCCTGCCAGAAACAAGACTAGCAATCATACCAGGCGCAGGAGGAACATATCGCCTCCCTGCCCTGATTGGTCTATCGCGAGCACGCGACATGATCCTCACAGGCCGCCGCGTTGGCGCCCCAGAAGCCTACTTCCTCGGCTTATGCGATCGGTTGGTAGAAATCACACCAGAGGAAGCTAGTCAAGAGTCTGCTTCACGGAAGAAGGTGTTAGACGAAGCGATCAAACTTGCAAGGGACATCTGTGAGGGTGGGCCTATTGCCATCAAAGCTGCGCTTACGGCTGTCGAGGGGTGTGCGCTTGGCGAGAAGGCGGAGAATGCTGCGTATGATATTGTTCTTAAGACTCAGGATAGAGACGAGGCTTTGGTTGCTTTTAGGGAGAAAAGGAAACCTGAGTTCAAGGGGCGGTAGACGTAGGAACATTACCAAGCTTTACATGGTTCATTTTGACTTGATTTGTTGTGCGGATGAAGCACGGTTGCATAGGAGAGTCATCATCGTATGCTACAGCCTTTACATCTTCGCTTTGATCTCCTCCAGCAGCTTCGTCAATTGGTCCTTATCCGCAGGCTTCGTAGGCCATCCAATGCCCAGTCCTTCTTCCTCGTTCGGCTTCGGAATCAAATGGAAGTGCACGTGGTCAACGACTTGATGTGCAATTTTTCCGTTGTTCTGTAGAATATTGTAATCTTGCACACCTTGCGCGATCGCAATCCTCTTCGTTACAGAAAGGACTTCAGCGAGTTGGTCGTCGGGAATGTCATGGAGTTTAGCGCCGTGGTGTTTCGGAATAATGAGCTACAATGAGATGAACGGGTTAGTAGAACTAAAAATCTATAGGGTGGAGATAGTTTTAGAGTGTCTCGCACCGAATGTCCTTTACTCAACGGTCCAATGTCCAAGAATGCAAGTGTCTTTTCGCTCTCGAAGATCTTCATCGACGGGATTTCCCCTGTGATAGAGGTTAACATGAAATGGATGATCTGAGGGCGGGAATATGTACCCCGGATTATCTTGCAGAAAATGCAGGCGGCGGCCATTGTGGTGCTCAGAGCTGTGCGGTATGTGGTAAGGTGGTGTTATGGGTGACACTTGGGCTTAGAAGTGATCGAAAGGGCCGACCTTCGAACGATGTGGGGTGGTGTGGGGTAGCTCCGTTGTCGGGTCGGTTCCGCTCATGTGAAGCTACTACGGTGGTACTTGTGGTCACCAATCACCCAATGAAATGATCTTTGTGTATGAGAATTGTCTATCTCTATCGCTTGATATCAAGCCTAACATCTGAGACATAAGGAGCTGCTTCGAATACCTCGTCATGACTTAGTCCATTTCCATGCATCGCACTCAAAGTTTGCGTAGCATCTGAACTCGTTGCTCAGTCCCTTTGCGTGCTTGACCTCATAAGCGGTAGCTCTCGTACCGACCTTCCCATACAACTTGTCAGTCACTAAGGTTTCCATGCGCTCCCCAGTGCACACGATGAGACGCAGAGCCTTTTGATTCCATACTTTCGCCAGCCATCGTACGGTAAGAGCAGCTGTTGCAATTAGCGGATCTGCTAGTATGATACGTCGACACATTTGATCTCACCTTTAGTCTGGCAATCTTGGCTTAGAAATGGTGGATCACAAATGATAACGTCGAATGAGCCTTTCAATTCGGCAGGTAATTGAATGGCCTTTTCGAAATCATATCGCACGAATTCTTTGAAGACGGCAAAGCGTTCATCGTATTCGAGCAGTTTGATATGTGGTCGACACTGGTATTCTCCCGAAGCCTAATGATGTTAGGGTAAACAATCAAACATGGTTGATCCACTCACTAGCAAATTCTTGAGCTGAATGAAAGCACTTGGAGCGGATACTACTGCTATCCTAGTGTCGTCTGTCGCACCATCCAGCAGTTGGCGAGCAAGTACTGTGGCAGTCTCATCACTGTACCAGAACTGGCTAGCATTCCAATCTTCTGTGAAAGCTTCCATAGACAAATTTCCCTCAAACTCATCTTCAGCCTGTCCTTTCAATTCCTCGAACTGTTTTTGTCTTGCATCCCGCTCGCCGTAAAATTCTTTCAGCGCATCCAATGCACCAGCAGAGAGCTGTCTTCATTGCTTAGCAACTGCATCCACTCTTAATAGGGTAACTCACGGTATATCATCGTCTTCCTGATCCAGTTTCACCATATTGTCTAACGTGGTGGCGTTCGAGGCTGCGTTCCTGAAAAGTGATAGTTCCCGCTGTCATGTCGAGTCTGAAAGGGCCTATCGATAACAACGAGCCTCGGTAAGTGATCGGTGCCTTGAGAATGACACAATGCCCCCGCGGCTACGATGTTTATTCGCTCACCTTGCGTGCCGTAGACGGTATTCGACAATGGCAGAACCTTTAGTGCCTCTTCCGGTGGTTGAGAAGCTGAGTAGTCGCGTCATTCGCGTACTCGGGGGCAATCCGAGCAAGGTGAGCGATGTTTGTTAGTCACGGAGAATGCCATTCTAACAAACATCCAGTTCACCCTTCAAGGTTCGACTTGCTCCCTGTCATCTCTCCGTCACAGCTAAAATTCTCCAAGGCACGAATACGTATATCATTGGTCAGGGCGCTCAACGATTGCTTATCGATACTGGCGAGGGCAAGCCAGAATGGATAGCGTCCATCAAGTCGGTACTCCAGAACGAGAAGATCACACTCGACAAAGCGATCTTGACACATTGGCATCATGATCATATCCAAGGTGTACCCGACCTCCTAGACTTCTCACCGAAGACCGAGGTGTACAAGAATGATCCACACGACGACTGGCTTGGCATAAGTGATGGCCAGAAGTTTGCAACCGAAGGCGCAACACTACGAGCATTCTTCTCTCCCGGACATACAACAGACCACATGGCATTCATTCTCGAGGAAGAGGATGCAATGTTCACAGGGGACAACGTTCTCGGTCAGGGAACCGCTGTTTTCGAGGATTTAGCAGCGTACATGAAGAGCCTCGACGGCATGTCAAAGCAGTTCAAGGGTCGTGCATACCCAGGACATGGACCAGTCATCGAAGATGGTCCTGAAAAAGTACTAGAGTATATCAAACATCGACAGCAGCGAGAAAAGCAGGTGTTGGACGTCTTGGCGAAGGACAAGGAGGGCGGGTGGACGTCAATGGACATAGTCAAAATCATCTACAAGAATTACCCGGAGAATCTTTGGGAGCCAGCAGAGAAAGGGGTTATTCAAATACTTGACAAGCTGTCGAAGGAAGGAAAGGTCGCTTATGACAAGTCGAAAGGGACATGGTCTTTGAGTGGGAAGCCAAGTCTATAGATGACCAATGACATGATGCGCTAATAGTTCCAACGAAAAGCCTTCTCCTAGCATACCCCGCTCGTCTCCCAGTTTGGTGGCAAGATGAAACCATCTATTCAGAGCTGTCTTGTGGTTGTCGCTTTTGGTAACGGTATATATTTTTTATAATTCCCAAAAACGTCATCATCTGACAAAGTGCCAGAGTGGTTAATGGGTTAGACTTGAATTACATGTTCATGCTATCTAATGGCTTCGGCCGCGCAGGTTCGATCCCTGTCTTTGTCGTTCTTTTTGTTGTTCTTTTTGTTATAATTTTTTTTGATCTTTTTCGTTCTTGTTATAAAGCTTCATGGTGTGTAGAATCGAAACGAGGTAGTAGATCGTGCATTCCTCAACATCTGCCTTTGCCTCACCGCTGGCAGGACGTCTTATTGAGTCGTACCTTCCTCAGCTAACGAGTGATTAACGAGTATCCTTTATTATCTTCTTGTCTAACAATATCAGCCGCAACCACCTCTTTTTTTGGCAACACCACCTAGCGCTGCTTTCTTCGGGTCGACCATAACCGTCTTGTCATCCGCGAAAGCCAGTCTTTACTCCAAGATACTAATGAACATCTTCTCCTTCGACTACGTCTCTTGTGAAGCTTTCATATAGACGATCCGTCATTATGAATGTCGAAAGATGCATCGAATTACACAACGAAATCCTGCGTTATGGGTGGGTCAATTCAGGTCACGACGTTTCCCAATTCGAGACAGCTGCCAAACCGTGGATGAGCTTCTTCGGCGACGACGGACTAGCAATCCTGCCTGACCTCGCACCTGAGCTCGGTCAATTTCTCCAGCAAGCTCGAGTCCTAGTCAATGAGCCCGAAGTGTCCGGCGGATACTCGTTTTTCTTCTGGGTCGACAATCTATCCTGATGACATGTTTCGGTATGAAGAGATGTGGGAGATGTCGCTAGATTTTCACTATGAGGGAATGCCCGCGAAGCGTGAATATGAGGTAAAAAGATTTATTCTTCTTTACCCATTGAATCAGCTTGCGACCACCACGTGGGATTAGTGTAAGTTTCAACGAAGAAACGCTACAACGGCCTGTACAGAATTGACGTATCTAATATAGGTTCGATCAGAAAAGTCATCTTTGCATCTTATGTCCAGATCTAGACGACATTGACAGAATCCTCTTCAAAAGGATGAAACGGTACCCATTGGTGAAACGGTACCCATTGGATGTTGTCCTGGATTACTGGCTCAATACGATCCGCATAGGAAGAATAGTCGCAGTCCCAAAGAACCGTCCGGATGGTCCCTTCGAAGACCGACTCGGTATTCATCCTTGGCGCCACAGACGATTCTACGATTCTATGTTAAACGAGACGCTTGATGCATTTAACAAGCTCGTTGAAGCTATCGAAGCTCGCTTGCCTCAGGGCAGCAGCTCTTTGAACGACGACTCAATCGAATATGGTCTCGCAGATGCAGACGTTCTCCAGATCCACGAGATAGCTCCAGGATTTGCCCGAGAATTCTTAGCATGCGCGCGAACTCCACGCTTCAAGCACATTGCACCTGGCCTGGAAGTCATAACGACGTCGACTTTCTCCAAGCAACCTTTTATCCCTAATCCCGATGAGAAGGCTAACAAACATGACGTCCCGGCGATCCTTCTCTTCTATTCGAAGCTCAACTACGACAATTCGCCGGATCGGACCGAATACGGAGCTGGCCCTTTTGGATATCCCTGTCACCAAATCACCACACTTCCTACTGGTCTCTATCTTGACCGGACGGACTAGACTATGTATAATGATGCAAGTAAATTTATTCTTCCCTTTAGTATTAGTAGCAAAGGTTATGCACGTAGTACTAATAGTATACTCTATAGATAGGATAACCTAAAAGACTCTTTTTAGGATTTGTATAGGTTAGAGTATTATTACTTTAAGATACCTATAAGTAGAACCTTATTAGTATATTAAAAAACTAGCTTAGAATAGTAGAAAGAGGGGATTAGAAGATTAATAAAAATAGTATTATAAGTAAAATAGAGGTAATATACCCTATAGGCAAGTTAGATATATAAGTAAATTAGATAGTATACTAAGTCTCTATTAAAATATACTATTACCTATAGTATAAATATAATACCTTAATAATATAATATATAATAGAAATAAGATAAAGCTTAGATATAGCTTATACTTTAAGCTATTAAATAAAATATAATACTACTACTATAAGAGGCTATATAGATATATAATATCTCTTCTTTAATACTAAATAACTAACGCGCTAAGAAGTATTTATAATATAATTATAATCTAAACTTAATAAAGCTTCTTAAGATAGAAGAGGAAGTAATTATCTAGTATATACTAGACTTAGATATCTAAGGATTTCCCCTTAGCTTACTACTATTAAAGATATAACTAATTCTTTACTTACTAAGTACTACTATAGTTTTATTAGCTAAAACTAAGCTATAACCTTTATTAAGTATATACTAAAGCTTAGAGTTAAATTTAATTAAAAGTATAACTATAAGAGAGCTCTTTATAAAGATCTTAGACTTATATAAAATTAGTTTTAGCTTATAAAGAATATAAAGGCTAAGTATAGTATTCTAAATAAAGATATTTATAACTTTAATAAGACTAGCTTTATAATAGACTAGATATTAATAGAAGCTATAGTTACTAGTACCTACTATTAAGAATAGCTAAAGATAGTATAGTAAGGTAATTAAGAGTAGACTATAGTTATTTAGGGTATTAATATAATAAAGTAGATAATCCTACCCTTTATTATCTTTTAAGGTAAGAACTACCTCTCTACTTAGTATAAGGAAGACGCCCTACTATATAATTAGGTTATTACTATCTCTAAGAATAGCTAAATAATAAATAAACCTAGCTTAGAGTAGTTAAAGTACTTTAATATATATATAAAAAGACGTACTATTAGTATAGTATATTTACTAATAATTAATAGCTATAAGAGCTATAAATTACTTTTATTTTAGTAGTATTATAAAGATAATAAAATTATTATACTTTATATACTTCTATACTTATTATACCTATTATAACTACTAAATATAAGCTATTTTTCTCCTTTAAAGAAGGTATATAAGTATAAGCTAAAATCTAAATATATAACTAGATTAACTATATTACTAAAATAAAGTTCTTACTATACTTTATACTTACTTTTAATACTACTATTATAAAGAGTAATATCCTAAGTAGCTTTAAAGGCGCTAGCTTAGTCCTATTTAACCTAAAAGCTATAATATTAAAGATAGATATATAGTTAAAGATACTACTATTAACTACTATAAAGGATAGTCCTTAAGAGTTAAAAATACTAAGTAATACCTTAGAATTTAGGTTATAATTAACGCTAGTAAAGATAAGGATTTAAACCTACTTAAATAGCTCTTCTACCTCTATAGTTAAGGCGTTTAAGAAGGTCTTAAAGGGTATAGTAATAATTACCTATAAGCTTATATTAGTATAATAAGAAATTATATAGCTTTAAGCTACTAATAAGGTAGCTATATATTAAAAATTATATAAAAGGAAGTAGCTATAAAAAGAAAAGACCCTTATAATAGAAGATAGTACTTAACTATTAGCTTTAAAGGAGTTTAGTACTTATAGTAATAAGAAAAAGTTAAAGAAAAGGTATATACTAAAGGAAATCTACCTTAATAATACTATAGGTAGTATAGTAGGATAGGGTATAATATACGTACTTATAAAAGTAACTAGAATAATAAAGAAAATATTATAGAATAATTTATACTTTTAAGTTTTATAAGTCTTTATAAAGTTTTACTAATTTTTATAGTATTTTTAGAGTAAAGATATTAGTGCTAGTAAAGATAGTAATTATATTATTACCTATAGTATAATCTATATAATAAGTAAAACCTAGTAAAGACTAGTAAAGATTATAGTAAAGATATCTTATAAAAATATTTATAAAGATCTTTATAAGTCTTTATTAAGTTTTACTAGTTTTTATAGTATTTTTATAGGTAATAATATAACTATACTAGTAGAGGTAAGAAATATACTATTACCTACTATATAAACTATATAACTAGTAAAACTTTATATAACTTTATAAAGATTTAGTAAAGATACTTCTTTATAATTTATATTCTTAGGTTTAGTAGTTTTATAATACTTTATAAGTTTTTATATATTATACTATAGGTAATAGTACGTTTTAATAGGGACTTAGTATACTATCTAACTTACTTATATATCTAACTTACTTATAGAGTATATTATTAATAAAATTACTAGCCTAATTCTATAAAGCTTCTTAAAATAAAAAAGAAGTTATTATTTAGTATATACTAAACTTAGATCTTTAAAGATTTCCTTTTTAGCTTACTACTATTAAAAATATAGCTAATTCTTTACTTACTAAATATTACTATAGCCTTATTAGCTAAAATTAGGCTATAACCTTTATTAAGTATATACTAAAGCTTAAAGTTAAATTTAATTAAAAGTATAACTATAAAAAAGTTTTTATAAAAATCTTAAGCTTATATAAAACTAGTTCTAGCTTATAAAGAATATAAAGGCTAAGTATAATATCTTAAATAAAGATATTTATAATTTTAATAAGACTAGCTTTATAATAAGCTTATAAGGGAATAATTATAATAGTAGTTTAATACTAGTTAAACTTATTAATTATAAGAAAATACGTATAAGGAGCTAGAGTATCTATATATATATAGAAGATACTTAAGCCTAGGTAGCCTATATATACGCTAGGCCTATATATATAACTACTAGATCTAATTAGAGCTAATTAGATCTAAAATACTAGAAACGCTATAGAGGATCTATAATACTATCTCTCTTCTTAAAAAGTAGTTTCTATACTTTTAATACTTAATATATATATACGTAATTCTAAATTATAACTTCTAAATTACTTCTTTAGTAGCCTAGGTAGTCCTATTACTATTAATTACCTACTTTAGTTAGTACTATTAGGTTAACTTCCTAAGATTATACTATAAAGTAATATAAGTTTAATATAATTATATTAGTAAGTACTTTACTATCTATTATACTATTAGTATTTAAGTTTTATATAAATATAAATATTTAGGGGTATTATAAACTATAATATTATTAATTATATAATAAGTAAATCCCCTCTACCTATTATATATAAATACGTAAATAAAGTTATATATAAAATATTAATCTTACTAATTAAAGACTTAGAGTATTATATAATACTA